TCCTCTGAGTCGCATGAACTTCGTCGTCAACTGCCAACTCCGAGACCCCGACCCGATCGCGCAAATCGCGTTGAAAACGAGGCCCCGACGCGCTCTCACGCGCGCGAGTGGCATCCGAAGACGCCCTACCACGCGCGCCACCCCCCCCCCCCCCATTAATGGGCTTTTACGCGCGCTGGCCCCCACGTGTGACGCGCGCGCACGCGCCCTCCTATTAAGCAGCGCGCGCGCGTCTGCCAACTCATCCCGCCCCATCAACGCGCGCGTACGCGCGCCCTTATTGGGCAGCGCGCGCGCGTCACCGCCCCTCACCACCCCGCCCTCCCGAGCGCGCGCGTCCACGCACGCTCCAATACGACGCGCGCGTGGGGACACCGCCGACGCGCCCTGCCCACTGCCCACCCCTCCACGTGACCGTCTTCTCCCCTCGAGCTCCGTGCCAGCCGCCACCTCACCAGCTCGGCTCGGCTCCCCGCGCTCCACGAGAGATTTCCTCTCACAAGGCTTGGGCCGGCTACCGACGCGCCTCAAGCCGTTTTCCGTCTCCAAGCCATCCACTACCCCCATCTGCACAGAATTTCGTGCAACGCCCACTGCGGATCCGATTTTCGCACCCGATACCACAAGATTTTCACGTTCCATACCCACGGAACCAAAAGTTTTCTCGCCCCCTTCAACCGGATCTCGAAGTTTAATTCGCAAGGATTTCGACTTACCCGGATTCGACATGAATAATAATTTTCTCCCAAGAAACAATCAAGAAAAATAAAATTTCTACTCTACCACAAAAAAAATTTCAAGACAAGAATAGCACAGAAGAAGACCTAGAGTTCAAAGAACATACCCATATTTATTGCAAGAGTTGAAGTTTAATTCTTTCCAACGCAAAAGGAGTCTATTTATTTGGCTCTGGTATAATATTTAAAACCCTTAAATATATACCTCGCTGCCAAATAAATACAATTATCCCTTATTTAAATTAAGGAATTATTTCACCGCCAAAGGAAACTATTCAATCCCCGACGCAATTAACTCTCGACACAACCCGGACCCCTCTACACAAGTCTCCGTCTCGAATCGAGAGTTGGGGGGCTTAATGATATACCTAAATGGGCCGACCCAATGGGCCCTCAAATTTATCTACTAATTAGGCCCACTACACGAAAGCCCAAATACCTTCAAAGTAAGGCTTGGGCCCAACAAAGTAAGCCCAACCCAATCACCGATATATAAATAGGTGTTTTACTAGCTCATTTGTAAATGTACGTTCTAATTATTGACGATCAACCTCGAGTTTTATTCTCTCTACTATCTCTACGATCCGTACATCTGACTTGAGCGTCGGAGGGGTTTCCGCCGGATCAACCCCCGGCTTAGTTCACGTGTGCTCATTTTGTAGGGACCTCAGGATCATCGAGTTGATTAGCTATTGATCAGCTTTGCTCTCCCAGCTCGTTTTCTATACTACTCCGGTGAGCTATATTTTAGCATCATCAAGGATGTTTACCTAGTACACCAATATATTTCTTTTCCAGCTAACCCAATAAAATCGAGTTTCACGTGGTAGTTCTAATGCTTTGAATATATATTTTTGTTTTTAATTACCAAGTCCATATGTGTTTATCGAACATGGATAATAATTTGTACATAGTTTTGTTATACGATATTATTTTTAGGCCTTCAAAGACGTTCTTTTTTATATATATACATGTTTCGTGTAATATTTGAAATTGTAATAACTTTCGGCAGGAAAGTCGAATTTCAGTTCCGTGAATTTGGCGTTTATTAGAATTCTAGGTTCCAATGGAATAATTAGGGTTTAACTATTTTTTGTCACTCATGATAATTTTTCGTATTTCTATAATTTAAT